ATTGATATCAAATACACGTTAGCAATCTGAGGTAAACTTTCACTGAATTTATTACCTAATAGTTGTGATTACCTTCATAGTTTTATCATCAAGGCAAGAACATAATAACATTATCTGAGTTAGGTTCGCATGTTGCTTACATGTTATGAATTATTTAATATACGCTGCTCAAAAAAATAATGGGAACACAAAAATAAGTCATTCTAGATCTGAATGAATGAAATATTCTTATTAAATGCTTTGTTCATTACATAGTTGAATGTGCTAACAACAAAATCACACAAAAATTATCAATGGAAATCAAATTTAGCAATCCATGGAGGTCTGGATTTGGAGTTACACTCAAAATGAAAGTGGAAAAAAACACTACAGGCTGATCCAACTTTGACAGAATTTCCTTAAAACAAGTCAAAATGAGGCTCAGTAGTGTGTGTGGCCTCCACGTGCCTGTATGACCTCCCTACAATGCCTGGGCATGCTCCTGATGAGGTGGCGGATGGTCTCCTGAGGGATCTCCCCCCACACCTGGACTAAAGCATCCCCCAACTTCTGGACAGCCTGTGGTGCAATGTGGCATTGATGGATGGAGCGAGACATGATGTCCCAGATGTGCTCAATTGGATTCAGGTCTGGGGAACAGGCAGGCCAGTCCATAGCGTCAATGCCTTTGTCTTGCAGTAACTGTTGACACACTCCAGCCACATAAGGTCTAGCATTGTCGTGCATTAGGAGGAACCCAAGGCTAACTGCACCAGCATATGGTCTCACAAGGGGTCTGAGGATCTCATCTCGGTACCTAATGGCAGTCAGGCTACCTCTGGCGAGCACATGGAAGGCTGTGCAGCCCCCTAAAGAAATGCCACACCATTACTGACCCAATGCCAAACTGGTCATGCTGGAGGATATTGCAGGCAGCAGAACATTCTCCACGACGTCTCCAGACCCTGTCATGTCTGTCACATGTGCTCAGTGTGAACCTGTTTTCATCTGTGAAGAGCACAGGGTGCCAGTGGCGAATTTGCCAATCTTGGTGTTCTCTGGCAAATGCCAAACATCCTGCATGGTATTGGGCTGTAAGCACAGCCCTCACTTGTGGACGTCGGGCCCTCATATCACCCTCATGGAGTCTGTTTCTGACCGTTTGAGCAGCCACATGCACATTTGTGGCCCGCTGGAGGTCATTTTACAGGACTCTGACAGTGCTCCTCCTGTCCCTCCTTGCACAAAGGCGGAGGTAGCAGTCCTGATGCTGGGTTATTGCCCTCCTACGGCCTCCTCCACGTCTCCTGATGTACTAGCCTGTTGCCTGGTAGCACCTCCATGCTCTGGACATTACACTGACAGAAACAGCATACCTTCTTGCCACAGCTCGCATTGATGTGCCATCCTGGATGAGCTGCACTACCTGAGCAACTTGTGTGAGTTGTAGACTCCATCTCATGCTACCACTAGAGTGAAAGCACTGCCAGCATTCAAAAGTGACCAAACCATCAGCCAGAAAGCCTAGGAACTGAGAAGTGGTCTGTGGTCACCACCTGCAGAACCACTCCTTTATTGGGGATGTCTTGCTATGTAATTGCCTCTGCTTTCCACCTGTTGTCTATTCCATTTGCACAACAGCATGTGAAATTGTCAATCAGTGTTGCTACCTCAGTGGACAGTTTGATTTCACAGAAGTGTGATTGACTTGGAGTTACATTGTGTTGTTTTAAGTGTTCCCTTTATTTTTTTGAGCAGTGTAGTTGGTGAATAAGCCACCTAGATTTACAAAAGCAAACACCACCACCCCACATACAAAAACACAGAAACCATATTATGGCTAAGATGCATGATGCACCCTGTCTTTGTGTGATCATTGAGAGAATGGTTTTCATTTGTCATCGTTTGAAATTCTTGGAATAGTGGACCTTAGAATGTGTGTTACTTACCTTCTCCTATTTCAGAGAATGAAATTGAATGTTGTATGAAAGCATTAGGCTTTTTCAGGATGAAAGGTGAATGATTGACATATGTAAACTTGGGTATGATTGAGAATTATGTCTAATTTGATAAATATACGTGATAATACAAGACCCAATTCACAGAATCAAATGACACGTTATCAGCCTCCCTACCTGACTGATTTTATTTTACATGGAAGCTAGTATGAGTTGTTCTGGATAGAAAGATGGCTGGCATATAAATTTAACAAATAAAATGGTGAAAAAACAATGCCATTCTATCTTAATTAAATTAAAGTAATTAAATTATAACTAATTTATCTTAATTGTAAATTATCTTAATTTACAAGCTTCTAGGCTATAAATTCATTTTTACAACTTTCCCTAACAAGTTGGTATACACGGAATCACCCTTCATTTTATCTTTATAGCCCTATAAGAACCCTGTGAATTTAGTTGGGGTTAGAGAAAACGACAGGCCCAAAGTCACGAACTGGATTCCATAGCATGAACATGAATCTGAGGCTCTCCCAGGCCTAATCAACACCTTAACATTTGTGTTGGAAAGCACAAATAAGCATTGGAGACCAATGTGAGAGACTGGAGGAGATGGTGAGGACCAGTCTCAGCTGTTTGCCTTCCAGTAAATGCATATTTTTTTATTGACTACATCCACAGCAGCTGTTTTATCAGAAATATATACCTAAAATATACTCTCAAAATTCAAAGTGAGTTTAGTGTGCAAAAAATCTAATATTTTAAAATTATTTTAATCAAAGCTTTCCCAGTTAGTAGATGCTTAGTTCTTGTGTACATTACTTCCCAGTTTGTTTATTTTTAAGCATATAATCCATTAAATATAGTAATACTAAACACATATCTAGAAAGTTGGTTACATGCAAGTGGAATGATTGTAAAATACAATCAGGAGTCACGCTACAAGATTTTTTTAAAGATTGAGTAGATTCACAATCTCAGCTGGGTTGATTAAATAAATAGTAGGTATGCTGCCAAAGTGAACATGATTAAACTGTAAGTCATTGGCTGCTTTTAACAAAGACAAGTGAATTAGCCGTGACGGATATAAAAGTTATTTTCCTCATATTGTGTTTTTTCCCATTTGTACTTTGTTCACTACTGTGAATGATTTGACTTTTAATCAATTCTCTTAATTATATGAATTAATTGAATCTGTCCTTCTTTGCATTGTAGCAATTTCTGTAAATTTTCAAACTACTTTCAAATTTTCTCTTTCCAGTGCTGAATACAAATGTGTCAACACTTCAGAAACCATCTTTGTTTTCCATCTGATAATTCCTGTCTATATAGATAATGTAAGATAGATTTCCCTTGTAGGTATATCTATCGGAAGTATAAGATCCTTAATATAAAGTTATTATTTTTTAAAATACTGAAAGTGTAGAAACAAATTGTTGTGAATCATAATAGCAGCTATGAAGATGGTGTACTGGAACTTGTGTGGGTTTTTTAATCCAGGTTTTCCACTTGTGGTTCAAGACATCCTGTTGTAGACAAGAGGCCTTATCATACTAGGTAGAACTGAATAATACTAACTGGTCTTTTTATTCAAACTGGTTTAGAATACTTCTGGCCCCATACACAATTTATCCATTTTGCATCGGAACATGTATATGGTTAACTTTTCTTTTCAAACAGTGAGTGAGAAATGTGTTAGATTTTAGTCCAGGTTTTCTTAGTAAATACATTAAAAACTCATAAATACATATGCTGGCACTTTGGGCTCCAGAGTATCAACACTGTTGTTATCCTTTCAACAGAGAGATCTTTCACTATAATTGTTGTTCCCTGCCACAATAAAATTGTTTAAAACCTGCTACAATAAAGTTCTTCAAAAAATTAAAACCCTACAAATATAAACTATAGTGTTCAAAAATAAGTCTTGGGGAAAAGAGAAAAATAAGATAAATATAAAGAATAGTTCTTGGCTCTTGTGTTGATTTATTAACATGGGATCCTGCCAAAAAGTGTACCTTAAAAAAACCATGAAAAAATAAATCTTGCCTGACTGACATTTGGTATTGGCCAAGATTAGAGGGAACAAATGCTTGTCTGGAATCATTTGATAGTTACTCATAGGAAATGCCAACTTCTGAAATGCTATTTTCTGGGAGGAAAATGCTTGAAACCTACAATTCTATACGCATTAAAAGAAAGTAGCCAATATCTATGGCTGTATACAAACAATTAGGCTTTTTTTATCAAATTGTATGCTTCAATAAATTCCTAATGAACAGAGGCTGGAATAACTCTACATTTACAAAATTTAACCCAAAATCTTTCTGCAAATCTGAATACATACTTAGTATTTAAGAGATTTGCTGATTCAAAACAAGAAAGGGTAAATAGGGTAGGTGGAAAGGTTTGAGTACCCCTTCAGTGTCTTGGCTATGACAGATGAATATATCTGGAATATTTTACACATTCTATTCTGCATAAAGAAAAATGGAGAATTACTCTTGATTCCAGCTCCTGAATCTAGGTAGCCATCAACAGAGCTTTAATACACAATAACTTTATTTGTTAACAAAATTATGAAGAATATGAATATTTTCTGACAGAATCCCTTTGTGGCATTTTTCCTCTTTTAGGTATAACAGCTTAGTCAAGATACTGAGGCCGTCAACTGATCATTTCAAATACCAAGAGGTGGCCTAACCAGGAGCTTAAATACAAAATTAAAACTGCAGGCGGCCAAAGTGGCTCTTTAGCCACCTAATCTTGCTTTCTAGCTTTCTGGAAGGGTGCTCTTCACTTCTTTCATTATCTTCCAGTCTGTGTTATAATGTTCCTCTTGATTTTCACAGCAAGGTAGTGCTGGCTAATAGTGTGCTTTATTTGGGCTGCTGTGTGCTTTTTTCTTTGCTGGGTAGACTGGGGCATTTTGCAGTGGTGCTTATGAGCTTCTCTTAATACAGAGATGTGCATTTGCTCTCTATTCACTAGATCTTTTGCTGCTTTTTCTTTCTTTCTTCCATGACCCTTCTGTCCCTTCACACTTCCTTGCCTCCACTGTCACAGGTTCGGCATGCCTAGTGGGCTATAAAAAGACACCACCACCAGTCCCACCTCGGACCACCTCAAAGCCATTCATCTCTGTCACGGTGCAGAGCAGCACTGAATCGGCACAGGACAACTACCTGGACAACCAAGACCACAAGAGTGAAGTCAACAGCCAGTCGGGACTGAGCAATTCCTCAGATAGCTTAGACAGTAATAGGCCACCTAGCGTAACGAGAGGAAACCTCACCACTCCAGTCAATGAGCCTCCTGAGTTACCCCAGAAAAATGCATCCTTGAAGAGCGACAAAGGAACATTGACGAACGAAGAGCCGAAGGTGGAGAACATCCCCAAAAGGAAGCTGTCATCTATAGGAATACAAGTATGGACTAGTTTGTTTTAATTAGTACTAGAATATGATCTTACTGTAACCATTTCTGTAAATATGCATACCTGTTTAACTGCTCTGGGGTCAATGCTACTGCATGCTTCTGGAGTGATTTGGCTTTATAAAACTCTGGAGTGTGGGGAGAGGTGCATTTGAGGAAAAATGCCATTGGATAAATTAAGCAACACAAAAGGATTCGATTAAAACTGTGCAAGCTGCAAGCTCTGTTTTTTGAGGAAATTGTTTCATTCTTATATATTCCCTTTAGATCACCATGCCTAGGTGGAATAAATCACCATGCTCATTCTGATGCATAGGAGGCCACAGAAAAAAGACAGCAGGTAGAACTAAGGTCATCCCTTAAGGCATTTCTGAACAGAAGTAATCTCTAAATTACTTGTTTCCTACAGTTATCAGCAATAATTAAGGTTGAAGTTATTTGTAAAAATGTGTAGAGATTTAGCTTGGGGAAAAACAAAGGTAGATAATTTCTGGTCAAAGTGTACATGGAATCATTAGCAAAGGCATGTAGGTTGTCTTGAACAGAAGCAGGAGATATATCTCTGAATTGATATGGTAAATGTAAAATGCAGAGAACTACTTTATTTGAGTATTGATACCATGAAGTTTGGCCATGCTTCTGCAGAATAAGATAACAGGCCATAGAACAGAGGTGGGGAACTATGGCCGCTTTATGACTTGTGGACTGCAATTCCCAGAATTCCTGAGCCAGCATTAGATTTCCATCTAAAAGCAAAAGCAGGAGAATCTAAAGCAGGAGAGGAAGCAAAATAACGTCCTGATGAGGCTTTAGGAAATCTACGAATCTACTAATTAGACTACATGGAAGCATGAAAAAGCATTTGGGAATAAATGTCCATTTGGGTGCCATGAGATAAAATAATTGATGTTAAATAAACTGAAGAGCAACCAAGTATTTAGCCTCCTTTTTGATTCAAGAAATGGTCACAAAAGGAAGCACATGAATCAAAGGTGTGTGTATGCCTTTGGCTTCCATTTCAGCTCTCCCAAATTGCTATAGAGAGAGTGGACTTTATGAAATCTAACCAGGCTGCTTCTGAAGTGAGATATTTGAAACAAAACCCAGTTATCCTCATTTTCACATCATGAGCATCATCACATGTTATTTGCTTGTCAGTCAATAAAATGTCACTTAGTTTGGGCTTTGCCTTTCCAGATATTCTAATACAGGAATTTTGAAAAAGACATTTTATGTACCTGTTGAAACTGTTAAGCATAGCATTCTGCCATGTTTGACACAGCTTTCTATCAAAGAATCATTAGTTATATTTTGTAAGGAATGTGGCCCCTTAACACCATGGAAATTTCTAGGCAATCTGATGAACATGACAAAAATATGACACTACAGGTAGTCCTTGACTTAACAACATTCATTTAGGGACCAATCTAAAGTTACAACATCACTGAAAAATGTAACTTACAACCGATTCTCACACTTATGGTCATCACAGCATCCCTGTGGCTACATGATCAAGTTGATTGGCAGTCAAATGTATTTATGAGAGTTGCCAGGTACAGAGGTCCTATGAGTATCATTTGCAACTTCCCAGTCAGCTTCTGACAAGAAAAGTCAATGAGGGAAGTCATATTTGATAAATGGCCATTAATAACTATGGTTTACTTAAGGTCATAAATTAACTCACTTAACAAGCTTAAATTCCCTTTGCTTGGCAACCAAAATTCTGGTCCCAATTGTGATCATAAGTCAAGGACTACCTGTATCCAGCAGTGAAAAGAGGGTTAATTCGGGATTGTTTAATAAATTAATACTTGCTATTTTATAGGAAGTTTTGTGATCACATTTTCCTGATACAGTAGCAGCCCTTTAGAACAGGGGTCCCCAACCTTGGCAACTTTATGATTTGTGGATTTTAAATCCCAGAATTCTAGTAGTTGAAGTCCACAAGTTGTAAAGTTGCCAAGATTGGAGATCCCTGCTTTAGAACAGGGTTCCCCAAGCCCTAAGCTGTGAACCAGTACCAGTACCACAGCTTGTTTGGAACCGGGCCACGGAAGTGGTGGGTGAGCGCACACACACACACAGTTCCATTCTTGTGCAAATGGAGTTGCAAGCACACTCACCCACCACTGACATGGAACTATCCTCTCTACCCCACCCCACCTTGCCAATCCACAATGCCAGAAAGGTTAGGAAACACTGCTTTAGAAGGATAAGGATGCAAACAGGAGCCCTGTAAAAGTAGAGACTGGGAAGCCGCCTGGGGTGTTTCCAGAATGAACGGCCTTGTGGCCACCACCTCCACCTCCATCCAAGCATGACTAGAGTTTGAGATTATAGTTCCACTTTAAATTGACAACCTCTTTGCAATAAGTGGCTTTTTTGTGGCACAAGAGTTTGCCATTTCTAAAATCTTAATAGGGAAGAAGTTTAATTATTACTTATCCTCTACTATTTATTTACCCTTGTTTGAAAGAGCATATTCAGAGAATGACCGAACTCCCTTTGGCATCATGCCCTTCCGTTATTCTATGTAATATTTTGACCCTGATACTACATTGTCAGAAAGATAGCTCTGAATGATGCGTTTGGTGACTTCCCATGTTGAAGAAAAAATGGTGGCATGTTGGAATTAGTTGAACTACCCTTGGTGCACCTGATATGCCTTCATCAAAAGGCTTTAAAGTGGGCCACAAGCTTTGTTGAGCTTTTGATGCTATTTTGACATTGGCTTTCATTATGCAAATAGAGAACTGATTCAGTTTGGACTTCTGTCCTCATGCATGTGTAACAGTTAAAAAAATATTAAAATATCAGTTATAAGCAACATCAATAAATTTGTCTCTAAACCAATTGTCCTAAGGCCTGTTGAGCAATCTGAGTGGCATTTAGGTGAACATGTGACTTAACACATGGTAAAGCTTGATTCTAAATTCAGATCATATTAAAATAAATTCTGTAGATGTATTACATATCTATAGATATATAGATATCAGTAGTATGCCTTGGTTGCATTTCTGTTCTCATGTCTCTAAAATTTCTTTTAGATAATTTTATTTAACAGTATATCTGACCTTTGACAGTATATATGACTTTTTAAAGAAATTTGAATTACAGGTAGCTAATTGTTCAGTTAAAAATTAACCTAGAATTTTTAGAACAGAATAAAAAATGAATGAAAACTGCCTTTTAAGTTTATCTTTTAGTAGGACAGTGTAACTTTGGCTAGAGCCATAGTTTTCCTTCTTTCCCCGCCCCCATTCAGAACTTTTAGCCATTCTGAGTCAATGTTGGGCATTCTGATTGGGTCCATTGCAGATTCCTCCTGGTCTTAACAAAAAAACCTTTTGCTGCCTTTTGGTGTGTGGTGTCTGCATGATCACTATGTGTGTGTTTGTGTGCACGCATGCCTCTTCCCTTCTAATGTGAATTCTAGCAGCAAGTTTTTGTGTTTTTGTTTTTTTTTGTTTGTATCTTTTTGTTAATAAGGTTGACTGCCTTCAACCAGTGGCAAAAGAGGAGCTCCCTCCATCAGCCACCAAATTCCAGTCCATCGGGGTACAGGTAGAGGACGAGTGGCGGTAAGTGGAAGACACAGGGTTTTTTTTTTAAAGGAAAAAAAAAAACCATGCAGTTGCAATCTCCCAATTTATAGTTTAGTTTCTTTTTTCCTATTCCAAATCACCGTTTGGGTAGTGGTGATTCCCAAATCCTTTCTCAACAGCAAGTGCTCTCACCAAAACAAAGAGGCTTAGTCATGTAAGAGATTCGTTGGGAATCTGAACTGAACAATAGAACTGGAGATGTAATTACAGATGCTTGCCAGTTTTTGTTTGGATGCCCTACTGTAGTAAGCAGGCAACCTTATAATTTCGTCTGTCTGCATGTATGGTGTGTGTATTTGTGTGCAGGGAAAGATGGGAAAGGAAATGCAGTTCAGCTGCAGATGCATAAACAAATACATATTGTTGTCTCTGCGTGCTGGGGAATAGATCCAGCCCTCTGCAAGAGCCGCTTTTCCTGATTGTCTCTTGCCCCTCTTTCATTTTATAGCAACAGCCACTCTCACAGCATGTCCAACAAACAGGATACAGATTCTGACTCTCAAGAGCTGAATAATTCTACCTGTAAATCATCTGAAAGAAACCTTGCTGATTGTTCCCCCTGCAACAACTCCAACAACCTTGATGCTAACACGAGGCAAGCAGCCATGCCCTCTGAAAGCAAGAAAAACCTCTCCTATGGAGATAGCAATGACCCAGCCCTGGAACCTTCCTCTCTCCCTCCTCCTGATCCTTGGCTTGAAACATCCACTAACACTCCATCAGAACCAACACAGCCGGGAGCTTGCCGAAGGGATGGGTACTGGTTTCAGAAGCTACTGCAGGCAGAGACGGAAAGGTTGGAAGGGTGGTGTCGACAGATGGACCAAGAGACTAAAGAGAATAATCTCTCTGAAGAAGGTGAGCAAGGATGATAGCCTGGCATTAGTGAGATTTGAAGCTTAAAGTGGGCCAAATCTTTCCATGCCTCGAGCTGGGCCCAAAAGCAAATTATTGGGAGGAGGGCTATTCCTATATGTTAGGGATTGTCCAGACAAACAGCAGAGTTCTGTATATCTTAATTCCTCCTTTTTTAAGATTTCAATTATGATTAACCATAGTTAATGAAGAAAATACTGCAGTTGTTCCAATTGTTATGGTGTGCCATTTCTATGCTTTCACTGATACCCTGGAGAGAAATGTTGCATCTTCCTTTCATTTAGAAAGATGCCGTGGTGCCATCAGTACTCTATAATTCTGAAGAAAGTTAAGTGTAAAGGACATGGAGTTTTAAATAGGAATCTACTTTTCTGAGATTTTTCAATGTGGTTAGGAAAAGAGTAGACGGGAAGTTCTAAATCTCCTTTTGGCAGCAAACCAATTTCTAAAATATTCACTTGTGATGGAATATAGACCCTTGGACTCTATCCTATCCATCAGAGTTGACAAACCTATGGTGATTAAAATTCCTGGGTCACAAACCTGTGCTTAGAAAGTTGCATTCTTGAATGTTTTCTTTGTGGTCACAAATACTGTGAAAAGGGTTGGTTGAGGGGGAAACAGCATTGGAGTCAACATTTTCTGCCTCCCCTGAAGACTTCATTGGCCCTCTATCATAAACAAAGTGTCATTCAGCGGTGTGGCTGCCTGCCATTTCTGTACAGGCAATTGATGTTGGCAGTAGAAAGAACATGGGCTAACCAAACATGCACTGACAAAAAAAAAACATAGAAGTCATTTGTAATGGCTTGCCTTTAATGGTTCTGAGTGAAACAGTTCTGTTCTTGGAAGGAGGCAGTGGGGCAGAGGTTAGTATGCCTAAAGGTCAAAAGAAGGCCTTTTTACCTTAAATCTCCTGGCATTTTCTGTTTTTGAATTATTTATCTTGCTTGACTGATTTTCTTTCTTTCTGCCTGTCACGTTCAGTCTTAGGCAAAGTCCTCAGTGCAGTGGGCAGTGCACAACTACTAATGTCACAGAAATTCCAACAATTCCGTGGCCTCTGTGACCAAAACTTGGTGAGTGTGCAGATCTCTGTTATTTGTATCAAACACCCTCCTCCAGCATGGCATATAGTCTTACGCCATCCATCTCCACTTTGGGCTGGTTATTTAATTGGATTCAGAGAGAGTCCAGGTAATATTGGTCCACCACCAGCAATGAATGGACCCAAAAGGGTTCTAGAAGGAACTAGGTTTGTTTGTGATGGTCTATTTCATGGTCTGACTGAGACCTTAGTTGCCACTTGGTACAAGAAGGTGGCTGTGAAGTTGAATCAGTATGTGTCTATGCAACCTCTCCCTTCCCATGGGTCGTCTACTTTCCAAGGTTTATGGAACATCTAAGGAAGGTGAAATGGGAGAAGAGATATCTAAAGCACCACTGGAGGTCAACAAAAACTGAACCTGACTGAACAGGGGACTACCTTGTGGCAGACAATTTGTCTCTGCCCTCTTGCATCTGTGGATTGCTGCCCACTGGCCTTGTTCTGGGTGACTCGAGCTCTTCTGGATAGAGAGAACTCAAGAGAATCATCTACAAGATTGTGCAGAGAAATTTTCAGAGCATTTGTCTGACAAAATTACTTGAATTCATTCCCAGTTAGCTTTGGTGCAAGTCCTATGGATATGCCTGGGGCAAAAGCTTGCCCTGTTATAGGGGTAGGGAATGGTTTAATGGGCAGGGCATGAAGAAGTGGACAGGATCCTTATGACCATGAGGTCAGCTATTAGCTCATCAGATTCATGCCTCTTCTGATAGGCTAAGACTGCCTGGAAGGTGACTGGATTGGTTCTAACAGTGAATTCATCATTCTAATTAGATGAATGAACCAAGGAGGCATTATCTGGACCCTTTCAGTCAATGGACAGAAATAACATTGTTTGCACTTTTGAATATTCTATGGCATGAGCAGGATGGGGGGGGGGGGCAAAACCAAGTGGCTTTGGGTCTTAGGACCTTCTGGATCTGGGACTTTACTATCTTTGGTGCAGATAGGGTGGCACTGCCACAAGCAGATCCAGTGCAAAATCCTTCTGGATTTATGATTATTGCTTGAGGAGCAGGTGGAGTTGTGGCTTAGAGGCTTTTGTACAATTTTGTATAGAACGCCAGTTCCACCCATTCCTGGATCGTGAGGCTCTACTTACAGTTACTCATGTCCTGGCCACCTCCCAAATGGATGACTGTGATGTGGCTTCCCCTGATTGTATTGTATTAGATTCTTTGCCACACCCGGTGCTATGAATAGTTATCCTTGATGGCAAGGAATAGACCTCGATTCTTGTTCAGAATAGGCTACAATGCAATTGCCATATTGCTTTTGAGAAATTTCTTTGCTTGGCAAATGCAGGATCAATCAACAAAAATAGTATTGGCAATAACAGTAGCCTACTCCGTTATGTAGTAAAACATTGTTATAAAAGAAATAAAGTTCATGTCACCAAATTGCACTTGCATTCAAATCATGAATAAAAATGGACCTGAACCTCGATCTGTTCATTACTGTTAGCATGAACTTTAAAACTATCTGCAATTTGAATCAAGTTCAATTCGTTGTTGTCGTTTTTAAATTCTAAATGAACTGCAACATTTTAGGAGAACTTCATCTGCCTTATTTGTTCACTACAGAACCCCAATTCCAATCCTAGGCCCACAGCACAGGACCTTGCTGGGTTTTGGGATCTCTTACAGTTGTCCATTGAAGACATCAGCATGAAATTTGATGAGCTGTACCACCTGAAAGCTAATGGTTGGCAGGTGACAGAGCCATTGGAGAAGAAGGTAAGCATCAAGAATACCAGAGTCAAACTCCTTCAGTGTACATTTTGTTGTTTTTATGGATTTATATAGAACATCTCTTGTCCATGTTAAACATCTTATTGCTTTATCCTAAATTCAATTACATTAAATGTATTAGGAAATAAGAATTAGTTGTCTGGTGAAATTATATTAAAGTATGCACACTTGATGAAGTTCTTCTATACATATAATTAATTTTGATTTAAAATATTACCAGTAGTCTTCAACTTACAACCATTCACTTAAATGGTTAAAACCATGCAGCATTCCCCTGGGCACATGATCAAAATTCAGGCATTTTGCAACTGCATGGGTTTAGGACAGTTGCAATGTCCTGGGGTCATGTGATCACCTTTTGTCACCTGACAAACAAAAGTTAATAGGGAAGACAGATTCACTTAACCATCATGTTACTAACTTAACAGCTGCATTGAGTCAATTAACAACTGTGGCAAGAAAGGTTTGAAATGGGGAAAAATTAACTGAACAGCTGTCTTGCTTAGCAATGGAAACTTGGGACTCGGTTGTGGTCATATGTTAAGGACTACCTGTATTGCCATGCTTCCAGATATCCTTGCACAAATCTCTATATAATATATTTTACAACTTGCTAAAATGATTGTATGTTTAAAGATTATAGGAGTAAAAACCTCAGTTGTTACTGAGAAAATAGCATATTGGGGCAAGGCAAACATCTCTGCAATGGCAGTTCCATAAATAGGGCACCACTTCCTTCGCATTACATTGGATAGAGGAGGAGTCTTTCCAAAGATGACCTCAGAACTCTTGACAGGTTGATTCAGGAACAAAAATAGGCACTTGATTTTAAGCAGTGTAGACCGTAATGGAAATCTATACACCTTCAAATGAAGCTTGACTACATGGACATATCCATGAGGTTTTTGGCAACTGTGCAAAAGTATGATCAACTCTCAACTCAGCAGACAGATCTAGTATTTCTTGGAGATCTCCTACCTAAATGCTAATCATATCTGATCCTTCTAAGGTTTTCATACCAACACAGTTTGGACTGAAAGCTTGTGAAGTTCTTTCAAGAGCCAGCAATAATTGTCTTTTAGCATGTTTGTTATTGTCTACAAAAGCAGCCACATATATGTTAATTTCAAGTTTAGGAATCCTTCCCCAACATTATTTTGAAATATACTTTTCCCAAGTATAACCTGCCTGCTATACTTGAAATTGACAAGTTTTCTTTACAGCACTTATATTATTTTGATTATTCATAATAATGTTTAACATAAAATTGAAGTACTTAAGTTATTCCTTCAGTATTACCCTATTAATGTATCCAAAAAGGTGTAAACAGTTCTTATGGTTTTTAAAACTTGAAGCAACTTTGGTTTAATTACTCTGCTCGTACTTATGTTGCATGTTGGGGATCTGGTGGTTTTCATAAATAACCTTTCTGACTTAGAAGCAACCCAAGGTATCCTGGAAGTGATCCAGTCCAAAATAAAGGGTTTTTTTGGTCCAAAAGCCATGTGGCATTTTGCAACACTTCTGATATGGAGAAATTACTTCTAAAAACTGTTGGTTCTTTGTGCCTAAGCCTGTATATCTGTAGTCAAATCTGTACAGCATATGAACAATCAATCCATGATTCCCTGTCAGACATCCTCTTTGAATCTTACTTTAGTCCTGTCCATTATTGTGTCTCTATATTACAGGATTAAATTTAACTCTGATAGTTGTAAATGATGTTTTATGCTCATTCTATCACTATTGAATAATGTAACTGGAGCTTCAAGATAGTTATTTTATTTCAGATTTGGTTCAATACAGCCTGAATTTTATTGCCTTAAATTAGTTTAATAATGATGGTGTTTTGACAAATTTGTTCTATTATGTGGGGAAGCAAAATTTAACTTTTAAAACTAATAGTTAGCATTCCTTAGTTTAAATTTGCTATATGAAAACTCATCAAAGGCAAGGGAAAAGAAATACAGGTAATCTTCGACTTACAACTATTTGTTTAGCAATCATTGAAAGTTACAATGATACTGGAAAAAAAAACTTCTGACCAGTCCTCATGTTTAAGGCCAGTTTGGTTCCCCAGGGTCATGTGATCAAAGTTTGAGTACTTGGCAACTGGCATGTATTTATAACAGTTGCAGTAGGGGGAGAGGGTGTCATACGATCACTATTTGCAACCTTCCCAGCTGGCTTTTTCTGACAAACAAAGTCAATGGGAGAAACCAGATTTGATTAATGACCATGTGATTTTCTTAACAACTGAAGTGATTCACTTAACAATTGTGACCAAAAAAAATCATAAATTGGGTGCAAATTTGCTTAACCACCACCCTGCTTAGCAGTGGAAATTCTGTTCCCACTCGTGGTCATAAGTCAAGAACTACCTCTAAAATAAAGGAGGCAGGAATGAGATTTTTGATATATAGATGTACTAGTAACAGTTTCTCATTTTTGAAAATCCACTTCTGTCAGTGCTGTGTAATGTTGAGAGTTACGGATTCTGTTTTTCTACATTTTTGCTATTATTCCTCCCTAAAGGAAGAAAAGAAACCACCCCCTCCTGTTCCAAAGAAGCCAGCTAAACCGAAATCTCAGCTAAACCGGGATAAGGCATCTGACTCAGTGGACAAGCAGCGCCAGGAAGCTCGCAAACGCCTCATGGCAGCCAAGCGTGCGGCCTCTGTTCGACAAAACTCTGCCACTGAGAGTGCGGACAGCATTGAAATCTACGTTCCTGAGGCACAGACCCGTCTTTGAGCAAAGGGAAGAGGAAGAAAACACTTTTTTTCACACCATTAAAAGAGGAAAACAAAACAAAAAAAAATGGGTTCACTAAACAGTAGTGTGATTTCTTTGGTCTAGAGATACCAGAGCCAACCCTGCCAAGGGCTCCCAATTAGACCTTTCCTGGTTCTGTGCTTTGGTTTTTCTCCTCCCCATCTTTCACGCTGGCTGTGGTGTGGCTGAACAAACTTTTGGAAACACAGTCCTTTACACTTGGAACTGCAACCTTTTTACTTGTCAATCTGAGGAGAATTATTAGCTTGTTTACATGAAATGGACTAAATTGAAACAAACAAACTCCCCCTGCCCGCCTTCAGCACTTGCCATGCTGTGCTTCCCCCACCCCGAATCCTTTGGCTATTTGTTCTGTCTTCTATCCCCAGAGAATCTCTTTATCTCCACCCTCACTGTTTTTCTTGCATTTTATAGTTGTCTCCTCTTTGCCATCCTTTTCTCTGCATGGCATCATTTACTGTGTTAGAAGTAAACTCTTCTACAGTGCTGCAGAAGAAAACACCGCTCAGCGTGTACTCTTGCACTCTGCTAGTGAGCAGCCTTCAGTTTTGTTACATATTATTTCCTTTATAGATGGGTTGGGAGTGGGTGGCCAGGGCTGGGTTGGGTTGGGGGAGGCAGTGAGGCTTTAGGGTTAATATATCTTGTAGTCCAATGATGTAAACAGAGGGCACATTCGGTGAGATATAAACGGTGTGTTTTGTTGTAATAGCCTGGAAGCAAAAAAAAAAAAAAAAAGTGCAATAAGAGAAGTGTTTTGTCTGCACACTCCCATGAATAGTGCTGCAAAAGAAGGATTTCCTATCCAGGGCATCCGAAAGAAACACAGCAAGGTGGATTCACATGTTGCCGCACACACTTTTCTTTTTTTCCTGTACTCTCTTCCCCTTTGCAATTTTTTGTATGTGATTTTGTGTGCAAGGATCAATGTATAAGAAACCAGCTGCTATACAAAGGGTGGGAAAAACTTTCAAAGTTGTACTTAATACGTTCTATGGTGAAAGACAATGGTTTTTGTACTGAAAAAAAAAATGAGGTAGATATTAGATGGTTGGCAAATTGCCTGCCTGTATGTATGTGTACATATGCACATAATACACTTAGTAGGATATGTAAATTTAATACATACCAATGCATACATAGCTAATCACACATGTACACATTCAGATGGTGTCTTTAAAAAGCACCTCCAAGAGGATGGGTGTATGTATAGCATATATTTTTACATGTACTATAGCTAGATGTGTGTAAAAGTGTGTGCAAAAATATATACCGTGCATATTCTCAGCCATTCTGGCCCCTTCTGTCTCATATTTTTGGAGGAACCATCATGAAATTTCATTTGACCTTCCTCTTTCCCTCTGCACACCTATTTTGAACTAATCAATGAAGCCAGGAATCAAACAGCCAAATCTAAATTTCTCCTGTGCCCTCCACACTACCCTGTTTTCCATTTCTACACTTCTCAGAAAGCTGTGCACTGTAATTTGGGGAGTCTTGAGAAAAGAAGGTATTTGATGGATAGCCTAAAGTGACCAGAACACAAAAGAATTTTTTTTACTGGTACATTAATGAAAATCATGTCAGTGAATGCTGTCTATGCATAGGGAGTGTTAGATTCTTACCTGCCCACTTAATGTACAATTTTGTAATCTGTGAAAGCTTGACCATATAGAGTATGGCTTCAAAAGAGACTTGATTTATTCTATTTTCCTCTCCCTCTCCAATAACCTTACTTTGATGATGGAGGGTGCTTGATGAACTTTTGAAACAAGTGGCTGACTTTCACAGTTCTTCCTATTAAAATTTGAAACGCTTGGAATGTGACTTTTTTTACTTGCATTTCCCAAAGCAGCAATGTTAGAAATTAGGGCAGGTGTTTGATGGACTCCGTTTCAATAGTATATGTTTTGGCGTGCAGTTTGTCAGTGGGATTAAATCTTAAATGTATGTAATTCAGCAAAACAGGTCTCCCGGTTTTAGAGAAGTGTTTGCTTCCACAATTACACAATTACCTTGAAAAAAAGATAGACATGCTTTTCTCTGGTATATGTACTTACATGCTATATACACGGAATATATTTGTCCATTTTACATCTTAGGTGTATTTACAAAGGGGCATTTTTAGCTGATGTGTACCCCTGGTGTGAATTGGCATCGTTAGTTTGTTGCAATAAAAATAGTAAAGATCATGGGTTCTGAAACAGTCCTGAAAAACACTTGGGGTCCTGACACAAGGGCTTGTCTTCAGCATGCCTCCAGCATTGCTAACCACACTTGGGAGGTAATTATGGGCTTTGGTGGAAGAGAGATCAAAGCAAGGGCAGTCAGCTGGTTTCAAAGCAAGGAAACATCAGAAGTTTTACTTCAAACTCTCAGCACTGACCTTTCTCCCCCAATGTTTTCTTTTAAAGGCCTACTTGGTAGTAACTACTACTTGATCCTCAAAAGAGCACTGAAAATAGTTTCCATAGATGGCACTTGCATGAAATGACACATTTGCTGAAGTATGCATACTTCAGGAATTGAAATATTGTGGTCACCTTTCCTTCTGTATCTCCTCCAACTGTAGCAGAGGATTCTTCACAAAACTAACTTATTCTAATCTACAAATCCGTATTAGCGATAAGGTAGCCTCTCTCTAATCCAAATCTTGCGTCTGTGGATGACATAGCTTCTTTTCAAAATGTGTAAAGCAGTGTTTCTCAACCTTGACAATTTTAACATGGATTTCAACTCTCAGACTACTCTATCCAAAATTCTAGAGTTGAAATCCACACATCTTAGAATGAGAAATACTCTTCTGAATGTTCTGGGATGACTTAAATGGAATTTAAAAACATCCACATTCATAAAATGGAAATACATCCAATATTTACTCTTGATAGCATTCACTGGACCGTGTTCCGATCCCTTAAAATTTAATACAGTAATTCAGCCATAAATGGACCGAATTTATAAAATTGGCCAAATCTGACCTTTATGTGATTCAAGGAAATACCCAATAGGTTTTAAATCTGGTGGTAGAACTACAAATACTTAGGTGAATTAATTTCTTAATAGCAATAATTCTGTGAAATGAGCAGGATGCCTTATGCTTGTTTCCCTCCTCCTTGCATTTTAGTTTTGATCTTCAGCTTCATTGGTTTTCAACAGAGAATGTAAACAGAGCCAGGGTTAAAGTTGCTCTGAAAAATCAATTTGGTGGAACTGTGCTCCATATATGCTTGCCTAGTTGTATTTACCTAATTGTGTGATTTGAAAAGCAATGTACCTATTATTTTGATGACCTGTTTCCTCCCAACCATGAATAATGGTAATATGTTCCCCCAAGTGATATTTCTTAGTTTTATGGCAGGAAAAGAAAAAAAAGGAGGGAGAGGATTACTTAGGACTGTGATTGATATTGATGATGGGCTAGGTTTTTTTGTTTGTTTTTTTTGTTTTTTTTAAGGAAAAGAGAAATTAAAGCCTTGTACCAGACCCATGGCCCAACGGTTTGTAATGTGAGTTTTGCTGCCATTATAAAACAAAATATAGTAAAACAAAAGGATCTATTTGATGCTCTTATGCCTGTCTCCTTGCAATCTCTGATCTACTTTTTAGAGCTAGCAATCAGATGTAAAAGGAAAAATGGAGAGATTAGGGAAAGTGTATCTGAAAACACTGTAGACACTTAATTTAGACTCTTTTTTTTGTTGTCTCTTAGAGCAGGGATGTCAAACTCTTATTTCATTGAGGGCCGCATCAGAGCTGTGTTTGATCTGTGGGGGGTGGCTAGTTCTGTGTCACTCATCGAGGCTCCGTTTTTGGCCACGATGGCCTCCTGCAGCCCTCTGCCAGTGAAAATGGAGCTCAGGGAGGCCATGCAGAAGCCTCCCAGGCTGTTTTGGGCTGCGACAGCCTCCTGCAACCCTCGGCTGCATGGCCTCCCTGAGTTCCATTTTCACTGGCAGAGGGCTGCAGGAGGCCATTGGGTGGTAGGAGCCCAAAACAGAGCTGGGGAGGGTTGCATACAGTTCTCCCGAGCTCCCTTTTAGCTGGCAGAGGCACCGCGGGTCAGTCCTTCACTGTTTTCAGGGAGGGACCGCGGGCCAGATCTAAGCATCCCGCAGGCTGGATCTGGCCCCCTGGGCCTTGAGTTTGACACCCCTATTTTAGTATGACCAAATTAATCTTTAATAAATGAACAAAAGCATTGCAAGAGTATTCTCTAAATCCATGTTTATTGCCTGATGATCTAGCAATGTTGGTTTTCACCAACTTTAAAATTTAGCCACAAAATTAGATATTTTCCCAATCAAAAAATGTTCTTTCTATATTCCTTTGAAATCATTTAGCAGCTGAATGTTGGCTAATCAATCATTTGGTTAATAGCTCTATATCTTGGCCATTTGATCTCTGTCATTAACTTTCCTGGATATTCAAAGGATACTTTACTTTGAAATAGTGTTCTTACTAGAAAGAGTAAACCAAAGAAACAGTACTGAGCAATTAAATGGAAGAATTGTATTGTCTCAGCCCTTAATATAAAATTGTATGGTAGCAATGATACAGCACAGGGCTGAGTGACTTATTCCATCTCTTTCTATTTCATGCTTCTGAACTAGAATAGCAAATATTTTAGATCTGGGGACATATGAGCAACATTCTCTTATCAGGTTAAACTTGAATTTCAAGCTCTGTTCTTGCAAAACTCTTTATTCTTTTTTCATTGAGCTAATTTATGCTTCAGTTGTCTTTTCTTGCTCACCAAATTTTGCACGATATTGTACAGACTGAAGAGATTATATGTATAGAGAAAAAGATGAAATGTGCTTTTTATATATTGGCTTTTTAAATTACAGGGAAAGATTTTTAAATTATAGTGTTGCACACTGGTACAATGGATAGAAAATATATAAATTAGGGAAGAAAAGCTCCCCCCCTCCAATCTTACTGAAATACAACTCCCATCCCATGTGAAATTCAATATCTGATATAATTTCCTACTTATGCTGTAGATACAATACACACATTTGACAAATACATTGCTAACAGTAGTATCCTTTATTGATGTTCTTTCCAAAAGAAGCAAAAATATGTACACAATGGAAATTACTCTTATTGCCCTGTTGATGACTAGGTCTGTTTATTTCCACATTTAAATTTTTGTTTTAAGCTGTATAAAATTGTTTTAGTATACTATGCAAGAATAATCCCATTGCCAATTCTTAATTCCCTAATTAGTGTGCTGGCTTGTCCCTGGTAGCATTCAATATTATTCACTTTCTGGAATACATTTCTCTGGTTAAATTTCTCTTACGGTATTGAATATGTGTGTTCTGTAGAATTTAATTTATGAGGCGGAAGAAATGCTGTGAAACCAATAATAACCATTGGGGCAGGAGGATTCTGAAAAGCCATGGAAATAGTTGATCACTACACATACACTATTCCAAATCAGACTCAACTCCTGGCAACTTCATGGAGAAATCTATGCAATTTTCTAGGCAGCTTTTTCAAAAGTGGTTGGTCATTGCGTTGATTCCACTGTTCCTAGTCCAGCAGTTTAACCACTGGTAGTGATGGTGAACCTGTAACTCGCTTATCAAAGCTGACACGCCACCTTTTCGGTGACATACCTGCATTCACCATCACCCCTTCCAACTCTGTCATTGTGTATTCAACAAATATTCTCAAAAGCATATCCCATTCTCATGCTCATATGTGAGAATGGCATATGCTCTGACGCAGCATCTTTTAAATTGCATGACAGGGCAATTCTCTCATAGACATAGCCCCCTGAGTCTCCAAAAATTGCACAAGAATGGGTGTCCTTTCACATTCTGGGGAGGCTCAGGAGGCTGTGGAAAAGCATTCTTCAAACCTGCTTCACGATTTATGACCTCATGTCCTGAAGCAGCCTTAAAACTGCTGTAAGGGCCTGTAAACAAAGAGAAACCACCACCTGAGGGTAAGAGGTGCACAACAGATTCATTGACCAAGGCATGCAAGGCAGCCTTTTTGAGTAGCAGCTGTGGTACTACCGTGTTTCTCACAAAATAAGGCCGGGCTTTATTTTTTTGTTGACCCCCCGAAAAATGGCTAGGCCGTCTTTTCGGGGGTGACTTAATTCCCCCACCTTGCATCCTTGGGTGGGCGGGCAGCGACGGCTTGGATGTTGACCTCAGTGTTGGTGGGGCACTTTGTATCAGGAGACCTTCCGCCACCGTTGCTTTCCCTTCTCCTTTGCTGCCACACCGTTTAGAGCAACGCCGTGGCATTTGGCGCAGCCATGTGCAGCCAGCCAGGCTCCTCCCTGCAACCAGAGCCCAGCAGAGACACTCGGTTTCAGGCGCTCCTGTCGCCGCCTTCCCTTTGCCTTCGAAGGTAAAGCCAATTCTTTTAAAAATGACACCCTACTACAACAAAGATTTCCCTGCCCGAGAGGGCAGCCCAACCCCACGTGGGGAGGTGACTGCCCAGGCCGCAGTGCAGGATCAGCCCACCTCGGGAGAAGCGCCCAGCCGCCATCCCTGCCTGGCGCTGGGCAGGGGTGCGAAGAGCTTTGCCTGGGGCATCCAACGCAGCTGACAGGCGGGCCCTCCTGCCCGGCAGTGGAGCTCTCACCAAGGCAGTGAGCACCTCCCCGCCGGACCCTCCGCTCATCCCGCCAGGGCTGCGCCAGAGCCGTGCAGGCTGGGCAGAGCCAGGAAAGCGAGCCGCGGGTGCGCACCCACCTGCCAAGCAAAAGAGCCAGGCCGACCTGAGCTTGGCTTCCTTCCCAAGTCCCCCCAGCCCGAACCTGAAGGGGCCACCAGGAGAGGCTGCTTGAGGCAGTGATAGTGCCCACCCATCCACGGACAGGGAGGCGAGGTGATGGCAGCGCTGCTTCCCTGGCCAGCGGAGAGAGCCCAAAGCCACCCATCCTTTCCAACCCTCGCCCAGCCTGTCCCCGTCCCCACACATCTCCAAATGCACCGGCAGTTCCAAACACTGCAGCGGAACGGGCATCGGGCAGAGGCGCTGACTCGGCGGGGCTCAGCTCGGAGGAGGACGTGCTGCAGGCCGTCACCTTGCCTCCCTGTCCACGGATGGGTTGGCACTATCACTGCATCGGGCGGCCTCTCCCGGTGGCCCCTTCGGGTCCAGGCTGGAGAGACTTGGGAAGGAAGCCAAGCTTGGGTCAGCCTGTCTCTTTCGCTTGGCAGGTGGGCGCGCACCCATGACTCGCTTTCCTGGCTCTGCCCAGCCTGCACGGCTCTGGTGCAGCCCTGGTGGGATAAGCGGAGGGCCCGGTGGGGAGGCGCTCGCTGTCTTGGCCAGAGCTCTGTCGCCAGGCAGGAGGGCCCACCTGCCAGCTATGCTGGACGCCCCAGGCGAAGCTCTTCGCGCTCTGCCCGGTGCCAGGCAGGGATGGCGGCTGAGCGCTTCTCCCGGGGTGGGCCAATCCTGGGCTGTGGCCCCGGGAGATTCGCCTTCCCACGTGGGGTTGGGTTGCCCTCTCGGACAGGGGAGGTTTTGTTGTACCGGTAGTAGGGTGTCGTTTTTAAAAGAATGGGTTTTGCCTTTGAAGGCAAAGGGAAGGCGGCGACAGGAGTGCCTGAAGCCGAGTGTCTCCGCTGGGCTCTGGTTGCAAGGAGGAGCCCTGGCTTGCTGCGCGTGGGTGCGCCAAATGCCGCAGTGTTGCTCTAAATGCCGTGGCACCATGGGGAGAAGGGGAAGCAATGGTGGAGGAAGGTCTCCTGATACGAAGTGCACCACCAACGCCAAAGTCAATGCAGGCAGTACCATATCCG